TAGTGTTCCGTGACTATAGTTGGTTTGACTGTTATATATAGTCGATGATTTTTTCCTCTATCTTTGTATTTAATATAATAAAATAAAAATATAATTATAATATAGTAATAAAAATTCCATGTTGAGTTTTTTTATTTGATCCACTGATTTAACTTAAAATAGTGTAACGTATATTTCACCAAAATGTTATATCTTAAAAATTTGAGCTCCTAGGCAAAAACTAATGCCATATTTGAATTCAGGGCATCAAATTCATATGAAATCAGCTCCAAATACCCCGGCACCAAAACAGCTGTTGGCCTGTGTTATCTTACCTTTAAAAATATCAGTGGACCGAAATGGGTTCTCTGATTCGAAGAAAGAAGATGGCTGATGTCTCGTGCTCTTCCAACACTGACTGTGTCCAGTAGCGAACTGACGCACAATCACTGACCGACCCTTTATTAAATGCCTAGCAGTGCCACGCCGTTCTCCCCGAGCCTCTCCCGCCGCAACGAGGCACCTGCTTGTTTGTCTCCAAGCAGTGACACCGAACTCTGATTCGCGGGACGGTAGCACAGACAGGGGCCAGCCCTCTACCAGTATCTTATCGGCACTGAACAAATAATTGAACTAATATACAAACGTAATTATTACATAAATCGTTATCAATTAGCGACTTTATGCTGTGGCAAAGAGGAAGGATAGCTCGGTCATTGTAGTGACATTGAATGTGTTGGCCTAGCGGTAATATTCTAGTCTCGCGTACCTCGATTAGGAAACAAGTTGTCCTGACAGAGGAGCTTCATGGTTTTCCTTAGTCCCTCCAGATACATGCCTGGATATTACGCCACACAGAGCATGAACAATTCCACTCATTTTTTTTCAGTTTTTCATTAATATATTTTTCAATTTGAAACTATATAATCAAAGGCAGGAAAGAGTCGTAAAATGTCTTTTATTGGCCACGACCACTTCCGCTCATAGCTTGAGCTGAGTCCTTGAGAAGCCGCCAGTCCCTGAACTACTCAAGAATTTCCAAATATTTTATAGAACCCGAAATTTCATTACCGTCTTCACAAGGGCCTTTCACTGGTCCCTATCCTGAGCCAGATTAAACAAATCCGTATCACCCGTATCATCCGTATCTCTAAGCTTTATTATTGTAAAGGGATATAAACCATTTGCTAGACAACGGTTAAGTAAAAACTAATTTCCGTTACAACGGATAGCGGATAACGAGTCGTTAGCAGGTAACATGTTGTGAACACTTAGAAAACCGAACCGTTGCTTTGGAAATGAATACAAGGTTTCTGACATAACTCATGGATATAACATAGATCTCTATCAAGTTCTCGGGAATTTTATAAAAGGCAGTGAATTCGAAGAAGTTGTGAAGTAGAGAGAGTTTCAGAATGAGGACATGCCCCGACGGTCATGACTGAGTCTGAGCTGTAATAATTGATTGTAATTGTAAAGAAGTGCTAGTAAACCCAATCATCGAATCTAGAACCCACAATTATTAGTCACGTCAACCCCTTATACGTCAATATTATCCTTCTACCTACATCTGGGTCTTCCCAATGGTCTCTATCCTTCTGGAGTTCTCACCAAATTCCTATATCCATTGGTCTTCTACATTATTCGTGCACCATGCACTGCCCATCTCATTCTCCTTTGACCTTATCTTTCTAACTACGACGGTAAATCAATAAGTAAGTTACAAATGGATATAGAACTTAAACAAATAAGAGTACTGATTTGAAAAATGCTTTTATTTCTCAACATAATCTCCCTGCACACTGAGGCACTTGTCCCATCGTTTCACAACCCCCTGAAAACCAGCAGCATAAAGTTCTTTGGGCTGCTGTCGGAACTAGGCGGTGACTTCCCTTTCTACAGCTTCATCGTCGGGAAAATGTTCAGCCGAAAGATGATGTTTAAGAGGGCCGAACAAATGGAAGTCGTTTGAAGCAAGACTCATCACCTGTGACAATTCGGGCTAGAATATCGTGTCCTTCATCATGGTAGCGATTGAGATGCCCATTTGCATTTTGTGTTGTGGGGTCAGCATGTGCGGCACTCATCGTGCACAGACTTTGTGAAAACCTTACCTGTCATGCGACTTCCATTTGAACATGTCAGTATGCATGGCTGCGAAAACTCTCTCTCTCTCTCTCTCTCTCGGTATGTTGACGGATTTACACGTTTTCGACACTTCTGAATACAAAAAGAAAAAGAAGCAATGTGGGTTGTGGACTCCTGTGTGTATGTCTGCATGGATAAGCGCCTCGCTAGAACCTCAACGGATGGACGAATTTAATTCAAATTTAGTACAAGTATTTAGGAATTTATCCATCATAAGTTGTTGACCGGAGAATATAAATGTTATAGCACCAAAATTGGGTCCTTCGAACGGGGCCCTAAAACATAAAACTGTGATTTTTCCTAGACAGATACTCCAGAGGTTTCAGTTTGCATTTAATTAATTTAAGGAGACCATTGGCAGTAGATAAACTGCATAAAGAACATTGTATGTAAGCAATGCATACGTAAAGGGCTTGTGTAAACAGAGACCAGCAGCGGTCTACCTAACAAGGATCGATTCGTTTCCAAAGCAAAATTCAAGATTTCAAGGAAGCACAGTCTGTATAGCTACGGGCTGGGCAACCCAGGTTCGCTTCCCGGCAGGGTAAGATTTCTCTTTTTTCCACAGCGTCCAGACCGGGTTTGGGGTACATCTAGCTTCGTATCCAATGGGAAACGGGGGCTCTTTCCCCTGAGATTAAAGCCGCCGGAGTGTGAAGCTGACACTCAGCTCCATCTATTGCCGAAGTCAAGAAAATGTGGATGTATACATCAACTCCCCCATACGCCTTCATGCCGTAAAGCCTATCTAATTAAGCACAGGAACAAATTTATCTTAATTCACCGCGTACTTTTCGAGTTCTTTCTTCGCCAGTCGCCCAAGCACAGGGCGTTATATCGTGTGGCTGCTGAGAGCGTTGTTAAGGACCCCACATGTCTAGCGTTGAGATCATTAAACCTGCTTTTCTATAATATCCTGCCGCTCTGTGTGCCCGTTACGTTGCTACGCTCTAAAGTTCGTTTTAATAATCCTTATCAGACAACTCAGCTGTTCCTTTGTCCGGAAACGAGTGACGCGAACAGGGGCTTGATTAGAATTCATCCTCAAACTGACGACAAAGTAGCTTCAACCTGCGTCTTATCTCGGCAACGAAAAATCTTTTTATTTGCCTTCCCATAACCACGTGTTGGTGGGCAGGGCATGTAGCACGAATCGGGGAGAATAGAAATGCATATAGGACATTGGTGGAAAAGCCAGAAGGAAAAAGAGACCACTGGGAAGATAAAGGCGTGGGTGGGCGGAAAATGTTAAAAATGATCTTAGAAGAGAAATAGGATGGGATGTTATGGATTAGATTGATCTGGCTCAGGATAGGGACCAGTGGAGGGCTCTTGTGAACACGGTAATGAACCTTCGGGTTCCATAAAATGCTGTGAAGTTCTTGAGTAGCTGCACAACTGACGGCTTCTCAAGAAGGGTTCAGCTCCGTGAATGAGTGGGCGAGTGATGTAGCCTCGAACTGTTGAGAGATTGAGACGTCAGCCAGCTGACTACGACAGTGTGCTGTGAGTCTAGCAGATATCCATTGTGGAATTAATGGCCGAATGCAAAATCCGCGACGGATGCAGTCAGGTGTTTTAAATGTCCGATGTCTGCCCTTCGTTGGCTCTTAAACGCCTTCGTTCCCAGAATTTCATTCTCTTAAATCCCGCTTGACTTCCTGTGAGATCCGTGACGGACGGAGTATCATGAGAGCTCAGGTTTCTCTGAGTTAACTCCGAGTTTCGTTGCTGATCATCGTTTTACTCTTCGACACTTATTATGATGATGATCAAATCTAATCACAGTGGCCACGCGGGCTGAGTCATAAACCGACTTCGTTCGCTCGAACGCTGGGATCTTTGGTTCGAATCCCACTGAAGGCATGGATGTCTGTGTACGTTTATTCTGTGTTTGTGTTCTGTGTGTAGGTATAGGCATTTATGATCTTTATGGTATGCATGCTTTGTGTGTAGCTCACTGAAAGGATACGTAATTTGAGGCAGTGTACGCCGCAGTAAGTTCAGAAAACTCAGAAACTGACACTAAGCAATCATGTACGCCAAAGGATGACCCAGGTAAGGGTCGAAACATGTAGCGAAGTCATTAACAGCAAAATTAAGCAGATGTTTACACGATAGAAGCTGAACTTATTGTTCTGTACACTGCCTCAAATCGTATCCTTTTCGGTAGCGGCCTTCCAACAGGCTGATCCCCCATCCAAGGATTCATAATTACTGGGTAGAGGATCAAGAAACTGAAAAAGCGGCCAAGGCACAACAAAGGACTGTAGAGCCATTAGAGTAATAATACTAAAATCAAGGGGAATGGTATAGGCAGGACGTGCAGAACGCATAGAAATAAAGAGATTCTTTAATTTTAGTAACAACATCTGAAGGAACGGGACCACTTGGAGGATCTAGACATATATGGGAGCATAATATTAAAATGTATCTTAAAGATATGGGGTTAGGAGTGTGTGAACTTGATTCGTCTGACTCGGATAAGGACGAACGATGGGCTCTTGTGAATACGAAATGAATCCTGGGTTTCATATTTGACCAGCTGAGCAACTATTGGCTTCATAAAATTGAATGTGTTCTATTCTGTTAATTTTAATTACACTGTTCTTCCATATTAATCACCGCCCCCTGACAACGCAGCACATTATCACAACCACGGTCTTAAAGTTGGGGACTTCATCTCTGAGCCGGTACGCGGCCGGTTACAGGCGTGAGGTGGTTAATGTGAGAGCAAGTAATAAAATGCACAGAGATACTGGGTTTTCGAACTTTGTCCATCGTCCGGATTCTAAATAAGTGAGTAAAACACAGCGTTTCGGAAACTGGATCTGTTTCCTTCTTCAGGTGATGGAAGACACCTACTCTGTTGGGTCATTTAAAAAGAGCTAAGCTCAATCACTGGACACTACAATGGTTTGGCGACCTTCGGAGACGCAAGTTTCCTCAGATTCTCTCAATAACTACAAAGAGACCGACTTCTGATAGCACACGTCAAACGTTCCTGCTAAGATAAGGAATGCAGGCCAACAGTTTACGTAGTTTAGTGTGAAGTGCGTTGGTCAACACGAGATTTTGTCTTTGTTGTATGAAACTTGATGCTGACTTATGCAACGAACCGATAATCTTGCATCGCGGCCACTTGACATAGTCATAAACACATCTGAGATAAGTGTAATTGAAAACCATTCTTAATTTGCCGACGAGATATGGGTGCAAACTTTACATTTGCTCAATTACACCGACGTGTCAGGAAAAGAGCAAAACATTTTTAAAAGTAGTGTAAATATTGCGCGCAGTTGAAATCAGAATTTGATTCTGGAGAAAGTTAGT